GATGGCGGAGCAATAATGAATCTGAAAATAGCATAGGCCTCTTCCATTTTGCGATCAGCATAATTCCTTTAAATGCTACCTTTTATATTATATGCACAGGTGTTTAGTCTATGGGAAGTTTTTACCCGCTGCTTTGGCTAATGCACTAAAAAAAATCATTAAACCAAAAAAAAAATCTGGCATAAGTACAAACAGCAGAACTTTGTATATGAAGCACAAATAACACATTTATATAAACTACTTTTTTTAAGCAATTTAAATTTATGGTCAAAACAGTTCACAAGTGAGAATACTGCATACTATACTGACATGTAAAAGACCAGAACGCTACTCATAACCCAACATAGCATCACAATGCTCAACTACTGGGGGGTTATACTTAAAACATCGCAAAGTGTTAGGGCCATATCACACAAGTGATCCTGTCGCTGGTATCAACAGGATTTCTAAGGGGCTGCTTACCTGTTTTTATGGAATTGCTCCCTTGCTAGCCAGGCCAGTATGATGTCGCTTCCTTGTTGCCTCCTAGCTAGCAAAGTAGATTGAGTAACGCTCTGGGCCAGCAAAGGAGAGAGCCCATAGAGAAAATAAGAGGAAGGCTGCCTAAGTGATGTATCACCATCAGCAGAACCACCTGTGTAACATGGCCCATAGGGATTACTGTTATTTACCAGAGCCCCTACAAAGAGGTTTGGGCTGTGCTGCATGACAGCCTCCAGAGGTATCCTTATGTTTCCTGCACAGGAAGCAGTTACCATGCAACTGAAATGAAGTACTAAAACTTCAGGCATACAGCAAGGGCAGGTAGTATTCACAGATAATTGTATTACTGGCAAAAGGTCAAGTGACAGAGATAAGACTGAGGTCATAACTAGTGATGTGTAGGGGGGTTTGGTACAACCCAGTTTGCCTGAATCTGTTCAAGCCTGCGAAAAACTGTGACCTGACACCCCCTTCCTGGTCCAATCAGTTGCAGGAGGGACATTACCCGCCCATTTGTGATGTGTACCTGCAGGGTGGGGCATGCACCTGCCGCAACTGATTGGGCCAATCACGGTTTTGCACAGGCTTGGGTAAACACAACCCTGCTCATCACCAGTTATAACTAGTGTAGCCAATGAAGTAGCAGGTAACTGGTGGTGTGTAGGGGTAGCAAATTCTGGCAGCTTATTAAACACATCCTTATGGCTCTTTTATTTATGGATAAGAAATACTGGATACTCTACATTCAAACATAGATTTATTGTATACATGTCCATTGTTTGTATAAAATCTTTGTACATTTGTTATTTAAACATTTCATATGGGATGCTTTTATGGCATTTATGTTGCACAGGATACTACATTTTTTATTAGGAAAGTGCCTGCTCACTTGTTGACTGGCCTCGGTTTTTAATTAAAAACCGTATGTGCTAACAGATATTTCTGGACATTTTTGGATAAAGCTGTTTTCTCCTGGCCTCACATGAAAACTTACCTAGATATCAATGTATGTCACATGCAAAATGAAAGTTGAAAAATGATACAGTACCTATTTGTAGTAGCATAGTAGCACTGAGCTCTATCTACAGTATGTCTCACAACCTCCTGAAATAGACACTGTAATTATTGTACTTGTGCAGTGTTTATTTTATTATTGTTTTGTAAGATACAAGTATAATTGCTCACAATTAGAGCCTCTGGGGAATCCAGCTTTTGCTGTCTGACTGAGTTAGAGGTGCCACTAAAATCTTCACAATCTGACACTTCCAGGTGGGTAAAATGCTTGAATCTCCCAGTTGCAGCATCTCCACTTAGCCGCTACACCACTAGTTGTCCCTTCAGAGCTGGAAGGCCATGTTAGTCATGTATCGGCTAGCTGGGGAGGGAGGGACATCTACATACCTGCCCCTTCTGTAAGAGTTTGCCAACCTTCCTCCCAGTAACAAAGTATTTTTTAAGACAGCTAATGATTTTTGGAAATCATTAAAATATTTATGGCATAATCATGACCTTTTAACACTATTCCTCCTAACCATGTGAACCTTATCTGCCTTTCCCCCAACTCATCCCTTCACGAAGACATTTCTGATAGGAGAGGAAGAACTACAACCCTCCTAAGACAAACTGACAATCAGCATTAAAGGCATATCTAGAAGACAGACAAGTGATGCCCTGTCTCAAGGGTCTTTATGCGAGGACATGTTGAAGAGTTAGCAATTTTTATTTACTAGTGTGGGAGGGCAGATGTCTTGTTCTGAAGAGAAGATTATAGCAATAGATCCTGCTGATTATTCATGGCCCCTGAAGTTCTTGATCATCTTCCCCAATGCACTTTAAAGGTATTCAGCCATGTAGCCCATTGGACATGATTGTGCCACATAAATGATTTGTGCCGTGCAGACCTGGTTCATATGTATATTTACAACAGGATAACAGCACAAATATATCTATTTCATACTATAAAGTCCATACAAGCAACAACCTGGGGGCGGTGCGGGTAGGGGGCAGGGCCCAGAAGAAAGTTTGCCCAGGGTCCAATCAATATTAAAGACGGCCCTGGGGTTGGTTCACATGTATGCCTCAGCTTACAGTCCATCTCCCAACTAAAATACATATGCGCAAACTGTTTTGTATCCAACTGTTATTAACCTGTAATATCACTTTCTTATGGAAAAGCTGTTTGATCTCTTTCTCTCTCTCTAAATAAAATTGTTATTAGCCACTCTGTTCTGATATCACTATACAGAACCTGGAGACCGACATCTCTATGCAATGTAATAGAGCCTGATTATAATATTAGCTTCCTGATTATAGCATTTTGGTATACGTGATAAAGTGAACATATTCCGCAAAGCTTTTGAACAGATGTATACAGGCTGTTGTCTATGTGCCAGTGTTATTTGTAGTTCTTTCACACAAAGCAGTATTTTAATTCTAACAACCATTGGAGACTTTGACAAAAGAAAGACTAAAAAAATCTTCATACCTTCCAGATTCATTCCAGCTTGTAGACACTTCCGATAGCGACATGCCGGGCAATTTTTCCTCCTAATTTTGTCAATAATACAATCATTTCTTCCAGCACAAAGGTAATTGTGCTGACCTGCCAGAAGAAAAGACAAGAATCGATCTCAGAAAGTAACACTGTCAATGATACAAATCATTCAAAGTACATATCGCATTCAGAATTAACTGCTGCACATGACAGATGTGAAAAAATGTGGTTAAAACCATTAATTTGAGATCGAGTATCTTCCTTTTATGTTAAGTAATGGATTCAGTATTTGACTTAAAGTGAAATTAAAAAAACGTTTTCTTTTAAAGTTCAAAATGTGACCAGTGTATGGCCAGCTTATATGGTATTGAAATGGAGGAGTTAAGGACTCACTTTAGGGAGTTAGGTTGGGTGTTGTGGGGACCCCCCACTGCCGGCTGTCAATCAACAGAGGAGAACCTGAAGGAGAAATGTCTCCTTCAGTTCCCTCCTCTGTTGACTGACAGCGGGTGAGTGCAATAGCCAGTCTGCTATTGGCTATTGCAATTTGAAAAAGCCAATAGCAGGCCTGCTATTGCTCACGACCACTGCCTGCTGTGTTTACATCCAGCTGCCTCAGCAAGTAGTAGTCATTCCCTAGCTAAAGCTATTGAAGTGTAAAGGTGAGACTAGGGGTAATACCCCTAATGTCACCATAAAGAGAACCTGTCATCTCCAACGTGCTAACGTATTATCACACAGGGAGCATGTGAGCCCCCTCCCCATGTAATAGCAATGTAGTAAAAAAAAAAGTTTTACAAAATAAAAAGTTATATAAAATTTAGAAATACCAATAAAAACACATTAAATTCCCCCGCCCCCATACTAACGGAAGTCAGCTGCACGCACGAAAATGACGACTGCACTAAACATGTCAGGTATCGCTGTATGCATCAATTAAAACCGAGATTAAAAATGACAACTGTTGTTGGAAAAAAAACTTTTACACTTTAAAAAAAAATAATAATAATTTGTCAAGCCATGGGTTAAAGAATGGTAAGATGAAATGTATTACATTTCTGTTTCTGAGTTTAGACTTTAAGGAATTATTTTAGGATTTCACAAAGGGGTGGCCTTACAAGTAGAATTTTGTTTGAAAATGTATTTTGCTTTTGCTGATTTTCCAATAGTTAATGGGGTCAGACAGTCTGTGTCAAAGGGCATACATCCACACCTGTACGCAGGGGTGCAGAATTCCTATCGCTCGACACACGGGACATGTAGTTCCGGGTGCCATGTAGACATTTTATTTCTACATTTAGCCCTGCTGCCCTGTACAGCCACCCAGATAACTTGTAAGCAGCTTGCTTGTAACAAATCCTCAATGCACTTTAAAGGTATTCAGCCATGTAGCCCATTGGACATGATTGTGCCACATAAATGATTTGTGCCGTGCAGACCTGGTTCATATGTATATTTACAACAGGATAACAGCACAAATATATCTATTTCATACTATAAAGTCCATACAAGCAACAACCTGGGGGCGGTGCGGGTAGGGGGCAGGGCCCAGAAGAAAGTTTGCCCAGGGTCCAATCAATATTAAAGACGGCCCTGGGGTTGGTTCACATGTATGCCTCAGCTTACAGTCCATCTCCCAACTAAAATACATATGCGCAAACTGTTTTGTATCCAACTGTTATTAACCTGTAATATCACTTTCTTATGGAAAAGCTGTTTGATCTCTTTCTCTCTCTCTAAATAAAATTGTTATTAGCCACTCTGTTCTGATATCACTATACAGAACCTGGAGACCGACATCTCTATGCAATGTAATAGAGCCTGATTATAATATTAGCTTCCTGATTATAGCATTTTGGTATACGTGATAAAGTGAACATATTCCGCAAAGCTTTTGAACAGATGTATACAGGCTGTTGTCTATGTGCCAGTGTTATTTGTAGTTCTTTCACACAAAGCAGTATTTTAATTCTAACAACCATTGGAGACTTTGACAAAAGAAAGACTAAAAAAATCTTCATACCTTCCAGATTCATTCCAGCTTGTAGACACTTCCGATAGCGACATGCCGGGCAATTTTTCCTCCTAATTTTGTCAATAATACAATCATTTCTTCCAGCACAAAGGTAATTGTGCTGACCTGCCAGAAGAAAAGACAAGAATCGATCTCAGAAAGTAACACTGTCAATGATACAAATCATTCAAAGTACATATCGCATTCAGAATTAACTGCTGCACATGACAGATGTGAAAAAATGTGGTTAAAACCATTAATTTGAGATCGAGTATCTTCCTTTTATGTTAAGTAATGGATTCAGTATTTGACTTAAAGTGAAATTAAAAAAACGTTTTCTTTTAAAGTTCAAAATGTGACCAGTGTATGGCCAGCTTATATGGTATTGAAATGGAGGAGTTAAGGACTCACTTTAGGGAGTTAGGTTGGGTGTTGTGGGGACCCCCCACTGCCGGCTGTCAATCAACAGAGGAGAACCTGAAGGAGAAATGTCTCCTTCAGTTCCCTCCTCTGTTGACTGACAGCGGGTGAGTGCAATAGCCAGTCTGCTATTGGCTATTGCAATTTGAAAAAGCCAATAGCAGGCCTGCTATTGCTCACGACCACTGCCTGCTGTGTTTACATCCAGCTGCCTCAGCAAGTAGTAGTCATTCCCTAGCTAAAGCTATTGAAGTGTAAAGGTGAGACTAGGGGTAATACCCCTAATGTCACCATAAAGAGAACCTGTCATCTCCAACGTGCTAACGTATTATCACACAGGGAGCATGTGAGCCCCCTCCCCATGTAATAGCAATGTAGTAAAAAAAAAAGTTTTACAAAATAAAAAGTTATATAAAATTTAGAAATACCAATAAAAACACATTAAATTCCCCCGCCCCCATACTAACGGAAGTCAGCTGCACGCACGAAAATGACGACTGCACTAAACATGTCAGGTATCGCTGTATGCATCAATTAAAACCGAGATTAAAAATGACAACTGTTGTTGGAAAAAAAACTTTTACACTTTAAAAAAAAATAATAATAATTTGTCAAGCCATGGGTTAAAGAATGGTAAGATGAAATGTATTACATTTCTGTTTCTGAGTTTAGACTTTAAGGAATTATTTTAGGATTTCACAAAGGGGTGGCCTTACAAGTAGAATTTTGTTTGAAAATGTATTTTGCTTTTGCTGATTTTCCAATAGTTAATGGGGTCAGACAGTATGTGTCACAGGGCATACATCCCCACCTGTACGCAGGGGAGCAGAATTC